CTCAGGTCCCTTCCAACCCTAGAAACTATGAAACTATAAAGGTGCTTTCCCACTATGTTGATATCTCCCCACTCCCACAAGTAAATACGGTAACTTTGAGACTGTTGATCATTTAAAAGTATTTTAAAAGGAAATCACCTGAGAAGCATAACTAGACAATTTCACAGGTTCCATTTCAAAGTAAATCTCCCAATTAAATTTGTGGTTAAAAGTCTTTGCATACTAATAGAGAAATCAAACTGAATTAATTCCCAATAAAAACCATCATCTAAATTATAATTATTACCTTTCTACTTGAAGTAGAGTCAAATGCACTAGGGACAGAGTCTGTGGTAGATGCTGGGAAAAAATGATTATTGACATCAAGTGGAAACATGGAGATTTCATTTTGACGATACATTCTGTGGTGACGAAGTTTTGCTACCCATTCATCAAATACTTCCTGAGATTTCACCTACAGAATACAATATTTAATTAAATAGGAAGCCATAATTCAATTTAAAACTTCTAGTCAAACCTATTTTTCGTTACAACATGGTCATGCTGCATTCTCAATTCTTGGCAGATAGCAAAGTTCTCTCAGAAATATTTCTATTAAGCACTATGTTTCATTAGCTTGAATCTGATGCAATAATTGAGACAGTAAATTAGAGACAGTAAAAAAGGCACAAGTTCAGGAAACCACTTAAATACTTAAGTCTGCCCTTCTCTAGAATTACACTTCAGCACTTGCTTAGGTACTGAAAAGCATACTTTCTTAAAATTTATACTTAATATTGTATTTTTACATAAACCTTGTAAACCTGTCTCTTAAAATACACTCAACTTCAATCCAGAGAGGCATGGCAGCATTAACTCTGCATGCAAACTATATAGGAAAAATAGAGTGAGTTATTGGTTTCACATGAAAACTACTTTATTTTTAAGGAGTAACCAAGACTTTCAATCTTAAGTATAGGTTAGTGTTTATTTAAAAAAAAGCCATATAAAAAATTATGCATCTTAAGTTAAATTTATACTATTAGATAAAACTTTAAATTTTATCAGTGTAAAAATGCAAGATATTCTTCATAGATAAAAATGAATACATAATTAGAAAGATAAAGCTATCCTATTAATAACATGCATTAATAAGATGAATCCTGTAACATAATTCACACTCTGATATAATGATATTTACTGGAGGGCACTGCCATACCATTTAACTACTCTGATCCATCTCCTCCTTCACACGTTCATCTCTCAAAAAGGGTAATTAATTTAAAAGTATATAAAAAAAGACCAGTCAACCATGAGTCAGTCCTTGTGTCTCTCAGGCTTCCATTTTGAGAAAGCCTTTATGGCTGCGATAACTTCTACAAACTAAATGCAATAGTACAAATGAGGCCACTTATCTCCCAGTAAATGAGACACTTCGCTTTGGAGCAAACTGTAAAGTTTGGTTATGTTAAGACATGTTTTATGCAATTTCTTAAAACATTTATTAAGACATAAATTAACCACCATTTTCAGCTCTAATTATTATAATGGCCACACAAGCACATACATACACAAAGTTACGTCCATTTCACGGCTTTTTAATTTTTACAGCTCAATTGGAACACTATTGCCTTATTTTCAGGGGTTGGTAACCAACGGCCTGTGGGCTAAATCCAGCTCATGGAGCCATTGGATCTAGCATGCAGAACTGGTACTTCAGCCGCATTTGGCTGACGCTGTTCTGACCAGGAGCTTTCCTGTGCCACACAAAGGAGAAGCAGTGGCAGTGTCCTAGTGCCAGTCTGTCTCAGACTCAAGCCTGGACTTGCCATCCTGCTGCCAGAAAAGGTTGCTAACTGCCACCTTACAGAGTTACCTTCAGATGGTATATATGCTCTTCGGTATCCAAATCTATGCATTTTGTGGATTTCTTTACGGACATCACTGAAAGTCCAACATCAATGCAGCCATGAAGCTTCCCCCTCTCTATCTGCAATAAACATTTTACACAAATAATTAGTATTCATGTTCTGTGGTAGCTTAAGAAAATAGATTATTAATAGGACAGGAGGGAGGTCCATTCTTTTATCCTCAGCCTGGAATTTGGGAATTCTGGACTTACCCTTCTTTTTTCCTCAACAGTACACAAGTCCTGGTATTTCAAATAATTTAAACTATAAAAAACACATTTTAGGGTGAGGATACTTACATCAGCTTGACACTTGGAATATTTCAAAATTCCTCCAGCCAAGAAGAAGTATCTCTGTAATCAGGAAAATGCAAAGATAAACCTTAACAAATCAGCAGAAGTATAGATATTATTTACATGTTAAACCTTTTTTTAACAATGGGCAACACATTTAAATGAACAAAAGCCTTAAAAGATTTTTTTCCTACCTTGTGCCAGCCTTTTAGGGGCCATTTTCTCTTTTTCAACAAGTAGCCTTCCTGCTTCTGTGGCTCCACAGTGCAATTAACAACTCCCCGCAATCCTTCTATAATTTCCCAGCTGTCCTGTTTAAAAATAAATAAATAAAATAAATAAAAATCAGGTTATGATTTTCCATTTAAGTATTAGTGTTTGTTATAAGTAATGACCTGGGAATGGAGCCTAAAAGGAGGAAGACCGGAATCTTAGCTTGAAGGTAGACCAGAAAAGAGTATGCAAAAACTTAAATCTAGTCTTATCCCAGTAATTATGCAAACAAAAACTTGAATTCTGGCACATTCTTCTGCTTTCAGTCAGTAACACAAGATTTTCTCTCTCAAAAATACAAACCCCCAACTAAACAACCCCCCCCACACAAAACAAAAACCACTTTAGAAGACCCACTTAAATACTGTGAGAAGCATGATGCAATTGCAGAGAACAAAAAAACCAACTGAAAGCTAATTTCCTCCTCTTCGTAGCTTTAGCTTTTTTAAAGGAGTGACCTTGCAAAATTGAACTTACAGGAATGAAAAGCGTTAGGGATGTTTTTAGTTTCAGGCCATGGAAAAAGCATTAAATGACAGTGTAACACAATTTTTATGATCAGAGGTAGTGTCTTGTAAAAGCTACCATAAGACATTTTTCATTAGCAGGTAAGTGAACTGATATTTTATAATTATCAGGGAAAATTATTTTCGCACATCAACAGATGCTCATTGCATCATAGAATCAGAGAAGTAGGGCTGGAAGGGACCTCCAGAGGTCTATTCCAACCTCCTGCCTGACATAGGACCATCCTATCCAAAATGATCCTATACTATCCATAATCTAAACTCTACGTAAGACTACAGTCAAACCTGGTGCAACAGAGGCCTAACACCCTAACCTGCCACAGGTAAAGCAGGGGAACCATGGCAGCCAGTGTTCTGCTTCTATTAAACGTTGTCAATATATGCTCAAGAGATCCCAGGAAGAGGGGCACACCTTCTGCTACAAAGAAAGGGAAAAAAATCCCTGCAGTCCATACCAATTTGACCATGGGGTAAAATTCTTTCCTGATCCCAAATATGGCAACTGGTCTGACCCTGAGCAGAGGAGCAAGGCTTTGGTTACAGCAGAAGAACTGGCATGCCCCAGTCAAAGTCCCCAGCCTTGGTGTAGCCAACATCCAATGTCTCTGAGGGAGACTTAAAAACACCATCACATGCAGCAGAAGAGTGGGGGGGGGGGCAACCAGCAAAGCCCAGAAACATGGGAAATGCCCAGAGTAGAATAAATGCATAGCTACACCCCCCCACCCTCTTCTTGAACACCTCCAGTGATGGAATCCACAACTTCCCTAGGCAGTCTATTCCACTGCCTCAATAGTCTCACAGTGCAGAAGTTATTCTGGATCTAAACTTACTTTGCTGCAACTTCAAGCCATTGGTCCATCTCTTCCTCTCTGCAGCGAGAGAAGAGGTGCCTCCCCTCTTATTTACAGCAGCCCTTCAAGTATTTAAAGACTGTTATCCTGTTCCCTCTTAAGTGCCTTTTCTGCAAGTTGAACATACCTAGCTCCTTCAGCCTTTCCTTATACAACTTGCTTTCCAAGGCCTTTATCACCTTTGCCGCATGCCTCTGGACCCTCCGACTTGTCCACATAATTTTTATAATGTGAAGCCCAGAACTGCACACAGTACACCAGATGAGACCTAACCAGTGTGGAGTAGAGAGGTACTATTACCTCCCGTCTTGCACCTAATGCTTCTATTGATACATCCCAAAACCGCATTCGCCTTTTGTGCAGCTGCATCACAGTGCAGACTCGTATTGAGTTTGTGATGTACCAAGACTCCCAAGTCCTTTACACGGTGCTGCTATCCAGCCAGGTGTAACCCACTTTATATTTGTGTTTTTTGATTACTCCTCCCAACATGTAGCAACTTGCATTTGTCTGCACTGAACTGTGTCCTGTTAGCTCTAGCTCACCTTTCCAAACTGTCAAAATCTTTCTGAATTGTGCTTCCATACTCCAATGTGTTAGCAACCCTTCCTAATTTCATGTTGTTTGCATGTTTGCTCAAGAAGCTTTCTATGCCAGCATCCAAATCATTAATGAACATGTTGAACAGCACAGGGCCCGGGACAGATCCCTCTGGGACTCCACTCTAATCCTCCTGCCATTCTAATATGAACCTGTTAATAACTACCCTTTGTTTGCAGTTATTGAACCAGTTATCTATCTACCTTATAGTCGTTTTATCCAGCCCACATTTCTCCAGTTAGTTTATGAGAAGGTCATGCAAGGATCCATCAAAAGCCTTGCTGAAGTCCAGATACACTTTATCCACAGCATTCCCTTCATCCACCCAAATATTCACTTTGTCAAAGAAGATCAGGTTTGTTTGACACTATTTGTTTTTCATAAATCCCTGCTGGCTGCTTGTGATCAGCCTTTACTCCTCCAAATGCTTGCAAATGGGCTTCCTTAGGATATCCTCCAAAAACTTCTCAGGTATTGAAGTGAGGCTAACTGGTCTGTAGTTCCCTGGGCCCTCCTCCTCCCCCCCCCACCCCACACTTCTTAAAAAAAAAAAAAAAAAGAGGGTCACTACATTGGCCTTTTTCCATTCCTCTGGTACCCAGCCTGTCTCCTGCAACTTCAGGAAGATCATGGTCAAGGGGTCCGATATCTCCTCCACCAGCTCTTTCTGTACCATGGGATGAAATTCATCTGGCTCTGCTGTCTTGAATTCATTCAGATCCAACAAAAGCTCTCTGACCATCTCTTTTGTTATCTCCTCCCTCATCTTGCCCCCTTCCTTATCCAGATAATCCTTATTAGGATAATAAGTTGCACTGCAATTTTTTGTGAAAGTGAGGCAAAATAGCTGTTGAGTAGATATGCCTTCTTTGAATCTTTGGTTAGGAGTCCACCCTGGCTTGTTAAGAGGACCCACATCTTCCTTGGTCCTTCTTTTCTGACCAACCATACTTATAGAATCTCTTCTTGTTATCCTCAAATTCCTTTGCCAGGTACAGCTCATTCTTTATCTTTGCCTTGCTGATTTTGTCTCTGCAGGTTCTTGCTATTTCCTGGTAATGCTTCCTTGGTGACTTGGCCGTTCTTCTATTGCCTGTATGCTTTCCTTATTCACTTGAAGCATTTTAGAAGATCCTTGTGCAGCCTCATTGGTAACTTGCCATTCTTTTTGTGCTTCCATTGTTGGAATAGTTTCTTGTTGGGCTTCCAATTCTGTGCCTTTTAGAAGCTCCCAACCCTCCTGGATGCCTTTTATCCTTCAATGTATCCTCCCATGACATCATGCCTATTAACTCCTTGAGTTGGTTGAAATCCTCCCTTTTGAAATCTAGCCTCCTCATTTTGCTGACCTCATGCTTTCCCTGTCCCAGGATCTGGAATTCTATCATATCATAATCACTGCCTCTCAAGTTACCCATCACATTCACATCCTCCACCAGTTATGACCTCTTGGTCAGGACAAGATCTAAGACAGATGATCCCCCTAGTTGTATCCACCACTTTCTGGAACAGGAAATTGTCCTCCACTCAAGTTAGAAACCTCTTTGACATTTTACATTTGGCTGCACTGTCCTTTCAGCAAACATCTGTAAAACTGAAGTCTCTCATCATCAGTACCATCCCATAGTTTTTGGGTATATTTGTCATCTGCTTGAAGAGTGCCTTATCCACTTCCTCTTCCTGATTTGGTGGCCTATAATAAATCCTGCAGGCCATCAGTCTGGGCCAGCTTAGTGCCTCCATGTGGGGCTTCTAGCACTCCAATGGGGACCTGTGCGTGGAAGCACAGAGCCTGCTCAGCCTGACAGTGTGCAGACCAGGAGCCACAGGGAGTCATGTACCACCAGGCCAGACAGACTTCGTTCACCATACGCGGTTCCCCGCTGGAGAACTAGAAGCCCCATGTGGAGGCACAGAGCTGACCTGGCCTGGCTCAATGGCACTGCTTGTGGGAGCTGTGCACCAGGAGCCCCACGTGCTGGCATGGAGCTAGACCAATCCAGCTTGAAGGCAAGCCAGGCAGGCTCCATGCTGCCATGTGTAGCTCCTGGGATTCAGCCAGAGCCACACGCTGCTGGGGGGCTCTGCCTGTGGTGGGCCAGGAGTGCCCCACTGGTGGCAGGGGCTGTGCACCATGGGGGGGGCAATGGGATGTGGAGGTGGCAGAGGAATCTCCCCACAAACCCCACCCCAACTCACCCCACTCCTGTAGCCAGGAGTTCTCCCCATGCACCAGCTGTCCGGTCACATGCCACTGCACTCGGTGCCTCCACAAGGGGCTCTCAGATGGAGTGCTGGGAGCTCCACAGAGGTGTAAGCATACAGCCTGCCCAGTCTGATGGAGCGTGACTTCCGAAAGCCTACCTCCCACCAGTTTTCAGAGGGGTGCCCATAGGCCAATAACTGTTTTTTGGAGGAGCTCTGCAAGGTGCATAGAATGGCCTGGTAGGCTGGATCTGGCCTGTGGGCCATATTTTGCCCACCCTTGCTCTATACAATAGTCTTACAACAAAAAGAATGTTTAGTAACCTATAGATCTCTTGACTTGGGATGGGTGAGGGAGAAAATATAATTACATTTAAAAGTTATTTATAGCTAAGTCTACATTCCCCCCAGAAAACAAAAAGAATTGGAACATGAGCAATTTTTCCTCAAAAAAAACACCTACCCAACTTCTACCCTGAAAAGCACCCGTGTGTGATTGCAGGTTTTGGAGACAAATCAGACACTTGTATGAGGGTAAGAAGTAACATCACAGTAAGAAGTAAGCTCACCAGCTCCACTAATTCAGAGCACAGAAGAAGAGTGTAGTATACACTGTTTGTCATGGTTTTAGGATTAGGGGTGATTGAAAAATGTGGAGCAGGAGATGAGTCTTTTGGAAGTTTCACGTTTCTTCAACTATGAATAATGGTCAGAAGTGGTTTAAGATCTAGGATGACATGGAAGAGAAAACCCTTTTAAAAAAGGTTACAAGACTTTTTTTTGATTGTTAGGAATATCTAAACAATAGGTAGTCAGTTTACATGCCCCTTGAATAGTTCTGGGTGGGGGACA